GAGAGAGAGAGAGAGAGAGAGAGAGAGAGAGAGAGAGAGAGAGAGAGAGAGAGAGAGAGGACAGTGTGTGGTTTGAAAAGGCGACGCAGTTCTTCTTTCTTCTCTCATCTTTGCGAGTGGTTTGCTGATTACCAATTGTATGGAAAATCAAGTAGTTGGGGGAAGCCGGGTAACAGATGGAGCCGCAGTGAGACTCCACCCCAGTGACCTCATCAATGATTGGCCTCGTGACGGCCTATGTCAAAACACTGAAGAGTATGGCATTAGCTTTTGCATTGTCATCTCGTCTGACTGGGATATACGCGGCCGGTGTTCCCTAGAGAAAGCCATCGTTCCGGTCAACGCTTCGCAGGTCAACCTGTTTCAGACTGCCCATTGTCTGGTCTTATCACAGAGGCATACGGCCTCAGATCCCTAGTGGACCTGATCAATCGGGTGAACGTTGACAAGTCAACCTGTTTCAGACTGACCGTTGATCTGCTCCATCTGCATCATTCGGGCTGTTGGTGCTCTTTCGTATGTTATTCTGTTCAGTGTTCATCTGGATTCGAAGGTGGGTCTGTATTTCAACAGTTCATGGGTGTACCAACTGAGCTAGGGCCGGGCGGTCTTTTGGATGCTTCAATAAATACAACTTGGCCTTTTTCCTACTTGACTCTGTGGTTGAATCCACTACTACCCATCCCAAAACCACCAACCGCCCCATCCAGCGAGTCAGCGATCGACGTCCGGTTCGCAATGGTTTGTCAATCCTTGACAAGAGTTCGAACTCAAGAGGCTGGGCCATCGGCCATACGTTTCCCGAGTTGAGCTCCGCGTTGATGGGGTCATCATAAATTTCCATGAACTCCTCCAGGGTAGGCGTCTCGTCAGAGAGAAACATACCGAAAACCACTTTCGGCCCTTTGGGTAGGAGATCTCCAGCTGTCTATTTGAGGTTATCGAGGGCCCGCAACGGTTTGTCAATCCTTGACTAGAGTTCAAATTTGAGAGGCTGGGCCATCAGCCCACACGTCTTCGGAGTGGATGTCCACATTGATGGGGTCGTAATAAATTTCCGTGAACTCCTCCAGGGTAGGCGTCTCGTCTCGTGGGAGAGAAGCATACCGAACGAATATCGCTTTCGGCCCTTCGGGTAGGAGATGTCCAGCCGTCTATTTTCAGGTTATCGAGGGCCCGCAATGGTTTGTCAATCCTTGACTAGAGTTCGAACTTGAGAGGCTGGGCCATCGGCCACACGTTTTCGGAGTCGAGGTCCACGTTGATGGGGTCATCATAAATTTCCATGAACTCCTCCAGGGTAGGCGTCTCCTCGGAGAGAAGCATACCGAAAATCACTTCCGGCCCTTTGGGTAGGAGATCTCCAGCCGTCGATTTGAGGTTATCGAGGGCGAATATTTGCTGCGGCTTGCTCATTTCGGAGAACAAAGTCCCCAGCTTGACCATGCTGATGTTGAGATTGCACGCCATAGCCAAGATTTTGGCCTCTTCTTCCGCTTCGTAAGGTCCCGCGTTGGAAGAGGAGAGGAAAGCGGACATCCAGGTCGGGAAGGCTCGACCTGGTATGTCTTCTGTGAAAGACACGATCTTGACCATATCCAGAACCCGTGTCTTTGCTTGCTGCTGCTGCTGCCACGTGTGCAGCAGCTCACGCAATATGTCGAGGACTATTTTCGTCTCAGCTTCCATCACATGGACGCAGCATGTGGGAAACACAAGAAGCATGCCAGTGACCTTCTCCCCACTGTCTCCCTTCACCTTGTTCATCAACTCCTCGTGGAACGAAATCTGCTGCGTCTTGTTGCTCTCCTTACCACCCGTCTTAGCAATGTATACCACCCGGGCCAGCAGCACTTTCTTGCCCTCTTTCTGGATGCGCTCCAGGACAACATCTAGAAGTGACACGTGCGGCGGTTCTATTGCGTCGTCCATCATCGCTGCCGCCTCCACATCAACGCCCCTCTGTTACCTTCAAGCTCCTAAGCAGCTATGGCATGCTGTTGGCATGTCAACAGAGAAAAACAGGGCCACACTTGCAGTTATCCAAACGACTTTCCTGACAACTGATATCCTGCGGTGGGCATCAATCACTGCCCTCAAGGTTACCTGTGACAAAAGACCAAAGCAGACTTAGTCTATCACTCATCCACACCAAAGCAGACTATCACTCATCCACACCAGACGGAAAACCTTACAGACTGCTGATTCAGAACTCCGCATAAGCCAGCAAACAGCAAAACACCCACGAAACAAAGAAAGGTCTACTTCACAGCCAGAAACTACACTCCAGACGCCCTGCTGCCACTAGAGGCTGTATAAAAAGCAGACTATCACTCATCGACACCAGACGGAAAACTCTACAGACGGCAGGTTCACACCCCATCATAAGCCAGCAAAACACCCACGCAAACAAAGAAAGGTCTGCTTCACAGCCAGAAACTACACTCCAGACCCCCTGCTGCCACTACAGGCCGTTTACATATCCGTATGTGTATCACCTAAGCATCATCAACAGATCCCAATTAGTATCAGCTTACGGGTCATCACTGTACTTCGGTGTTTGTAGCTAATCTCTCTGCCAGTGATTTCAACCTGCTTAGGTTTCCTTCCTTTTTCGCTTCCTTCCATTGGAGTTCCAACTCAGGTCTGTATTTCAACAGTTCAGGGGTGCACACACCACTGAGCTAGGCCAGCTGCTTAGCTTTTCGGCGTTTTCGCTAAAAGCATCAAACTGCTCAGCAAGTCAACGTGGCCCCACGTGTCACATCCTTTTTTTTTGCAGCACTTCTTTTTTTTTTTAAATTGCTCCAATCTATTCGTGGGGAGCAGCACGTGCTGGGAATCGGGCCCAGCGTCCCTTATAAATGGAAATACATTCATGATTGATGATCATTGATGATAATTTGGGATGATTGAGGATCATTTAGGATGGTTTAGGATGAATCAGGATGATAGAGTGGATGATTGAGGTCATGAAATAGAGAGATGATGACTAATCAGAATGATCGTCTACTCAGCACTCAAATACTATCCTATCCCTAATTTCCTGTATCCATTCCAACCAACCAATCACAACAGAGCCTGTGATGTGCACCGATCAGGCCTCTTCCTGGTCTCACACTCCAATCTGGCTCGGTTACAGGGCAGCGCTACCCACCCCAGCTCCGACCATCGTCTGCCAGATCGTAGCCATTAGTCAAGTTTGCAGATCGCCTTCCTCCCTCGGCAATCCCAGACCTCTAAACAACGCCTCAAGCTCCTACTCAATCAGGTTACAGGGCACCGCCCCAGCGCCGGCCAGCGTCGTTCTGGCGCCAACTCAACCTGGCCATTACACAAAAAGGCTCAATTAGGAAATTAGCTAAGCTTAGAATGTCAACTAGAAATCGAGGATCTGATAATATCAGAATCCTGAAAACAAACCTTTCTGATGATGAAATTAGATGAAATTTGACGAGTACCTTGAGATGATCACAAAAAAAGATGGTTAATGATGAGGATGCTGATGACTATTCCTCTCCACCCCTCCCCTTCCTCCATGTACTCTCCTCCTCTCCCCTCGTTTCCTGTTCTCCTCTTCTCCTCTCGCTGCCTCCGCTGATCTGAACCCCGCCAGTATGAAGTTCCTATCAGCCCCAACGAGAGAGATCATCTCCCCATTCCCTTCTGCCTTGAAGTAACCAGTTCCCCCAAAAGGTATACCTCAAATCTAACAATCTGACCTAGTCTGCCTCCGCCAGGAGATAATGCGCCCCCATACATATCTCCCAGCCCCAGCCCAGGTCAGCTCCCATCATCTGCGTCTACTCCCGAGAGGGCAATCACCTCCCACCTTGTGTTACCCCTGTGGAGTAGCGCTCCCTTCCTGACCGACCTACCTGCCAACTAGACCATAACCAATCTGGGCGAAGACAATATAACCACCAACTCAGAGATAACTACTGATTGATGAAAAAATGAATAAAGAAACCATGATGATGATGATAATCATGATAAAGATTCAGATTGGTAGATGATGATGATGATGATGATGAAAAATTGGCGAGAAATAATTAAGGAACGTTTGACTTGCGATACCCTAATGGCACCGGTGTGGAAGATTGACAACTCACTATTGCTGTAACGAAAATAGAGGATGGCAATGATTACGATTTTGACGGAGAAGTCTGAATGACGGTCATGAAGAAGATGAGGAAGCGAAATGATGATGATGACCACCTTCAAAAAGGATGCGGGTGACGTAAATGACGAGCAACTTTGATATGTGAAGATAACCAGCGGCAATGTTGATGATAAACCAACACTTCTGACGAAAAAAACACCGGTAACCAAATGAGGATTACAAAATGACGGTGTCCTTGATGAAAAACCCCCGCGGAAATGACAATGGTGAAAATCTTGATGCTCTTGATGGATAACCTGCACAAGACAAAAAAAACAGACGAAAGCACATATATAGGTTGATGATGACCTCCTAGCCGCTCTCTTGATAATACTCTCCCAGTGGCACTGTGATGATTCTTCAAGTAGGACCAACGCTCTCCACACTTTGGTCTCCACGAGGCTGACTCCACTTTCCTCCACCGACATCGACTTTCATCAACTCGCATGAGCTCTCCAGCCTCTTTAAAGGTCTTGGCTATGGAGTACTTCATGTGAAAGACACAAGGAAAATGTTCAAACAGCAGTTGCCGATACCGTTCTCCCTTTTCCTCTATGCCTCAGGCCAGATGGCACGCCAGCCTGTGATGTAGTAATTACCCAGCGCCTCTGGATACCGCGCGTGCGTCAAGCGCTATACCCATCTAATTCATGACATCACAGCACCCTCGCACCAGCGACTCCCTCCCGTCGGCTGCCAGCATCGCGCCACGTGTCAGCTACCATCTTACTAGTCACCCCAAGCCAGCGCCTCGCCAACCGCACGTCACCAGCGCCCAACCACTCACCTGTTGCCAGCGCCTCGCCCTCCGCCAGCAGCCATCGCCTTGCTGCACTCACACAGCCAGCGCCTCGCCACTCGCGAGAAGCAAGCCCCTCGCCACTCGCGAGAAGCCAGCGCCTCGCAACTTGCAAGAAGCCAGCGCCCCGCCACCTCCGACCAGCCAGCGCCCCGCATGCAAGCAACCAGCATGCCACCATCCACGTGCCGCCCACACCTCGCCGCCCGCCCGCCCGCCATAGCGCTAGCGCTAACACGCGCCCAGCCGACCAAGGACCACTAACAGCCTGTATCCACAGCTGAGATAAAAAGTTCTCATAAAAAAGACAATGAAGAATTGTAAAAAGAAGTTACAAAATGGGTGAGGACGAGCAAACTAAAAAGAACAACATGCACGCACTCCCCACATAGATAGATATGCTTTGGGACTCCCACCTTTGTGCGCTTTCAGCCAGAGACAAATGGAGCAGGAAGGGCTTTCACAGCACTGTATTCGAGTTCCAATTACTGTATTTGCAGTCAGCAAGTCTGTGCCATGACCGTAATACTCTCAGAGGTCGTCTCTTTCCGATTTGCCAGAACCGGAAGCTGCAGACGTTGGCACGACCGCAGTCACTGTTGGCTCTGCTTGTTCCAAACTTTCTGAAGGTATTTCACACCAGGATTATCTTGCATGAACCAGACCGCATTTCCTGCCATGTTCAGTCGCTATACTGCTCGCCTGAGCGTATGACCTCTAACTTTCCGGAGTGCTACTGCTTTCATGTTAGCGAGGAGCCACTTCACATATCGACGCATCTGGATGTATTTGTGCTTTATTCGAGTGATTAATTCGTGTGATTTATTTTCACTTATTCATGATTTATTCATATTCTTCGTGATTTATTTGAGTGATTAATTCGTCCGAATTATTTTAAGATTTATCCATGATTTATTTTCGCGATTTATATTCCTAATTTATATTCGTGATTTATTTGTGATTTATTCGTGATTAGTTCGAGTACCGGGAAACAACACGCGCAGGACAAGTTGAGTCAGTGCGAGGTCTCACTAGCAAAGAGGATTGGATCTAACGGCTGAATTTGGACGCGTTTGTGAGGAGGTGCAGAAAATCGCTATCTCTTTGTGCTTTTCTGCATGTATGTGCAAAACATATTCAGATTCGCGCTTAATCCGACCCTCTCTGCTAGTGGGACCTCGGCCAAAGACCGTGAACATGCGATCTAGCATTTCGCCGTAAGAGGCAAAAAACAAATGTTATTTCTTCTTTTTGCCACAAAATATTGTAATTTAGGTGCTAAGTCATCGGGATGAACCTGGTCAGTAAAATCGACCAGCTGCATGCACTCACACAGCATAAGCGTTCTGAGGAGAGAGAGAGAGAGAGAGAGGAAACGGTCGTCCTGTAGGCACGAGCGCGAGAGAGAGAGATTGTGAGTTAATCGGCGTACGAGTACCAAGTGCATAGACACACACACAGACACACACACAAAGAGAGAGAGAGAGAGAGAGAGAGAGAGAGAGAGAGAGAGAGAGAGAGAGAGAGA